CCCCCCCCCCCCTCCCCGGGCTTCCTTGCCATATCTGACCGTGGGCATGAAAAGTGCGTAAGGTTAGTCATGAAATCTAAATTTTATAAAGGTTTATATCCTTTAAAGTTTTGTATCACTCATCTTGTTTTACTTCTCGGAAAAATCTTTTTCCCTTGGGAGGGAGGGGGAAAAAGCATGATCGTGGTGTTTTACCCCGGCCCTTACTAACGTAGCAGCACAATTTCACTTCAATTTAATCCGACAGCGCCGAAAAGCCGTTTCCATCAGAAAACGGACTGGGTAGCATTATGAGCCATCCAATACTTTGGAAATATTTGACTAAACTTTGCAAGTTTCAGTTACTAAAAATCACGAACCTGAATCCGAAAGGCGACATATTTGGGGGTGCATCAACCTTGAGAATCATGCACGAGAAAGAGATGAAAGGAAATGGGAATGAGAGGATGGTGCATGAGGAAATGGGATGGAGGAGAAGAGAAAAAAATAATAAACGTTCACACGTTCGGTTATATATGGCAACTTTTCCTGAACAGACGAGTAACAAGCCTTGTATATGTAATTTATATTGCACAACTCACCTGTCCTCACGTTACAGGAAACTGAACCGGTCACCTTCGACTCAAAGTTTCACGATGGTGAGCCATAATGAGGGAAGCAAATATATACTTTCATGTTTAACCTGTTAATGGATTTCGAAAGCAGGAAGTTCGAGTATTATGGCATTATTACTGACCCTCTTCAAATGTGGTCAACGACATATTTGGTTGATCATTTTGTTTTTGAAACATGAATATTACCTAGTGTCGTTGTTTACTTTGGCGTGAACTGGGCAGTGAAACCCGGGGGGGAAGGGGGGTACTTGGTTTATTTTTTGCTGGGTATGTGTCGCTGGCCTCTCAGAGCCCCTACCCCATTATAGTCTATTCTGTGGCCAATTATAGACCCCATCTTAGTCACTTTTGGTTAAATGTGTAACTTTTGCGATCCCAACCTAGTCGCTTTCTATTTTTATGAATACACCCATTTCAGATTGAATGAAGAACACTTTACTTTTCATCTACAGCACAAACATTCTGGTACGTTTGCTAAACGTTATATGAAGAAGTATCTTACTCCAAAAAAATCCGAAAATGTGCCACCCCATTCTGGTAACTCTATTGATTATAGTCAATCTAGCCGTGAAAATGCGACCCCATCCAGCGGCACATCCCCAGTAGCCTCATATAAGAAAGTACCCTCCTTCCCCCCGGGCAGTAAAGTCATAATTGTCATCAGCAAACAGCCCCTCTCTCAGCTGTTCCTCTACTTAAGTCTTGGTAACTAGAAGTGGTATCAGTTCGGTCGTTAAAAAGATCTACAAAATCCTAGATAATGTTGAAGGGTGTCTTAAGTCCCTGTGTCTCCTACTCACCTCGAGGACACAAACATGCTCTTCTTGGGCGGCTTAAGTGTTTCAACTACTGTGGATAAGTGGAATTAATGTACTCAAACAATGATAGTTTTATTGCATCTCAAGGTTTTACAGATGCTACTGACGAGAAAATGTCATAAATTCTATCAAAACTGTGTTTCAAGTAGAAGGCGTTCGGTGAAGGAAACAAATGACTTTTAAGCTCTAGTAAAGGAGCTGCGCACGTATTTTATAAAAAAACTCTAACCGTTGGAACTACCACCAAATTGTTCATGGTAAAGAGCGAGGATTATTCAGTAAATGAAACTCGACTCCTGCGGGAACAGAGAAAACCGAACCATGTGGAACAAATCGATGCTAACTCAACACCTCAAATATAAATAGTCAATTACAAACATGAACGTATGCTCTTGAAGAGTTTTTAATTTCGCTTAGGGTTACATGTCTAACTTTCGCTAATCATCGAACAGGTGTTCCATTTTGAAGTGTTTGCGAGCTGAAAATTCATGTATGTGACGTTTTTAATGTCTGAGAGGCTTGAAAGGATCCCCAAGATCCTTAGTACAGCTTTTACAGCAGTGCTCGGATGGATTTGGCCAGTAAAACCTGCCAAAAATACGTACTGATTTGTAGTATAAATCCGCAAAAAACTTACATCGTTTGATCTTTGAAGCCACTAGAGAAATCCAACGTTTCTTACGGCCATACTTTTTATCGTATAGTATGTACATATCCTGTTTGAAAGTGTTGTCACAACCAGATCGGTTCCAACCAAAGTTTTGACCCTGTGTGGACATGATTTAAAAATAGGAATATGTTCAGTCATTACAAATAAATCCTAGTTTACATATGATCGCTCAAGTCGCCCCATAAAAAGACAAGCGGCAAGAGATCATAATATGGCTCTTGACAAGCGGCCAAAAAAATCGTAAAAATAGTGGAAGCCCTTAGACTAGATTGTACGATAGCTGGGAGAATCTGAGCTCAGGGATCGCAGCAGTTTTTGAGGAAATACCTCCCGTCCCCCGTGATTGTGATGGTCCAACATCGACCATTCCTGTAGACTTAAGTTTTATTTCTGCTAGACTGTTTTTGCATAAGTAATAAAAAAAGGAAACATGGTAAAAACATTTGTGTGAAAGGGTTCGGTACGTAGGAAAAGGATGATGGAAAATGACTTATTATGGAATTCTTACACAGGAGTAGCAGACATGGTGCTTCACGCAAGCAGGGGTAAACGGTCTCTTGTAGAAAAACGGCAGGTCTCCGGGGATACTACAGCCATTGGTTTTTATGTAACACTCTTGATTTGGTATTACTTTCTGTTCTGCTAATATAAGGACAACAGCATCATAGCGCCAAACTTAAAGTGCTACTACGATCAAATCTTTGACTACTATTTTTTTTCGTCAGATTGGCAGTTTAGTACTTGAAGTACATGGTGTGCAAGTTATAGCTTCATACGATTAAGGAAAGTGGTATTTTTTGGCGCTCAAAAACCATTAATTTTCGTCCGCCATTAAAACGCTATGTTCCTGTGGCCTGGTTACCAAGAACACAAGGCAATTGCTTTGTGACGTCATTTACTTAACGCAGTACACACAGCATGACAATTTTCTTCCAAGAACCCTGCTCAACAATGTTCCCTTTCCTCCCACTTCGATACGTTCTTGTTTAGGAAGACTCTTTCGATCTTACTACATTAGGCTCCGTATGCGTGCAGCAACCGCTTCAATCGATAGAATTGAGCTGCACGCGAGTCTGACTAACTGAATGTGAGATTCGAGGAATAGGTTTGTTTCCAGCTGACAGTTTCGCTGTTTTCTCGGTTTGATAACTTCGAAGAGTGCTGCAATAGCATTTACGGGGCTTTCAACGCAAACCAGTGGCGAAAAATTAAACTTGGATCGTTTGCTAGTATATGGAAGAAAGATCAATCGACAGATCTTGAATCCGGAAAGAAATCTTCGCATAAAGAGGGAGCGCATGGAGGTAAGCTTACAGTTCACAAAACTTGCAGTGAATGTCCCCAACGCTAAGTTTATTTATATCGCCGGTGGTGATTTTTGCTTTTACTACTGGCGAAGTCATCGAAGATAAATTTTTTCTTAGACCTTTCTTCGACTGGAACGCGACGACAACGAAACTTTTAGAAAACTTTCAAAAAGATTTGCCCTAAGGCAACAGATCACAGAGAGCCCTCTAGTTTTGTAAACACTATTATCGCTCACACCTTGCTCTTGTAGTGTACTATTTTTTCTGTTACCACTATTAACATTCCTTTGAGCTTTTATAAAAAGCTTTAAAGCTCTATTTGTAAATTTTTATTATAAAGTATTAAAATCTATCAGGATCATGGTGCAATCTGAATGGTATGATATTTTAATATACAGTAAATTCCTTAGTATTTCCAACATGCTGGTCGCCATAACCCTCACTAAACAAATTAAAGGTATGCTTTTTTCAATTTTAGTATTCCCAAAACTCAGAGCCTGATTTAAACTGCACAGACACATTGTCAGTTCAAACCACAAGCTAAAGCAAGAGAGCCCACACAAGTTTATTGCAAAAACTGTTTTTGCAATTTTGTAAAATACAGCAAGAATTATTACCATTTACTGATGTGGTCTTTAAAATAAAATTGTGATCCTATCTTGAATGTTGTGTATTGTTATTCTTTTGAGTGAATAACGAAAAGTTTTGCAATCTTGCATTGAATACTTATAATAATTATAATTATAGTATATCATAATTTGAGATGTAAACTCCAACTCAGGGGCACTCATGCACTGAATCACTGAAGTGATGTGACTGACAGATTGCAAGTTAAAAATGAATAATCACCAAGGCTTGGTCACTGAAATATTTACTGCAACTGAGGGTTATG